GAAATGGAAAATCTAATCGAAAATTACTTCAAAGTAGAGTAAAATTTATTTTGCAATTTGTCTTTTTTACCAAGTATTTTTGACATATTTCTATATTTTATAACTTTTATTGAAAATAAGTCATCATTTTTGAATTTCTTCTCAGTTTTAATTGAGAGCGATCAAATTAAATTTTATTTGAAATAATGTATAAATATATAAGTTAAAATTTTAAAGTAATTTCAAAATAAAAATATGTAAATTAAGTATATGTAAAGTTTATTTTATTATTTTGTTTGGCATTTTTTTAATTTTTGTTAAATGTTTTAGTTATAAATAATATTAAATAGTTTACTGAAAAAGTTTAGACAAAATTAAAATCAGAGTTAAGTTTTGAATTTATGAATTTTATTCATATAAAAATTTGCCTGAAAATATTTAAATACACAATTTGAGTGTATTTTTAAAATTTTTAATTTTTCAGGCAAATTTTTAATTTTTTAAATACACTCAAAATGTGTAAAAAGTACAAGTGGTACAATGTTTTAAATATTTCAACTCAAATCAGTATATTAAATCCCTGAGATTTCTTGCTGTCATTTAAAGCTAACATTTTTTTATTGCTCCATTTTATTCAAGTGCAAAAAATTTTTACATATGTAAATATTATAATACATAATATTTGTAAGAATTTCAGTAAAGAAATTTAGAATTCCATATGAGAAATATTGAAAAACAAAAATGACGATACTCGAACAAATAGTATAACTAATGCCATATACATATATCTACAGACCATCAAGCTCAGAGAGCAAATAAAAAGTAAATTCGAAATTTATATGTAGTTTAAATGGCAGGTGCGTCGGAATTTATTTGTGTGAAGGAAATTGATCAATATTTTTGGCTCTACTGAATTTAAAATTTAAATTTCAAAAAAATCGGTTGGTAAATTCCATCTAAAAAATGCATTTAAAAAAAATGCAATTTTTAGCGCTGACCACCTTGCCTGTCTTCCAAATGGAAGGGTACTAAATTACAGATTAAAATTTTGGAATAAGAAATAAAATTTAAAAATAAATTGACGAAAAAGCAAAAACATAATAATTATAATATAGATGGCTTTTAAAACTATACTAAATAAAATGAGATTCAAAAAAAAAAAAATAAAAAAAATAATTTTACAAAAAAAAAAAAATAAAAAAATTTTTATCGACATGCTTCGAAAACATAAAACATTAAGAATTGTTTTTGTTTTTTTTTTCGATTAAAAATTTCGGAGAATATTTTTAGCTTGGAGGCCTGGTAGATATATATGGCATTAGTATAACTTCCACTCTAGTAAAGTAAATTACTCCTTTAGCAGGAAGATAAATCACTAACCTGAATGCAAAATACTATAGCGAAAATTAAATACAGTATTCCATAAAATGAAAAGTTTTATAAAAGTGAGTAAGATTTTTGTCAGATAGTACAATATGTGAACGTACTTTTTACCCAGATTTTGGAGAACGGCACTTTATGAAATCAAAAATAGTTAAAAATTTGATTTTCGTAGAATTTCCAACTCGACAACGATAAAAAGTTCACGTAAATATTTAAAAAAAAAATTGGATATGCTTACTCTTTTATCGAAGAAACTTAAAATTCTACGAAATTCTATTTCGTAGAATTCAGATTTAGATTATAAAACTTGTAACTTGACGAAGAAAGCAAGAGGAAATGATTTAAAAACACCTAAAAATTAATTCCTTAATCCAAATTAAACGTTACCTATTAATAAATTTTATTTCAGGAAAAAAAATTTATTAATGTGAATTTTAAAGGGTATTAAAAATAATACCGTCTCTGCCAAAATGACACCGAACATTTTGGCAGAAACGGTATTATTTGTAATATTATTTCCAAAATAATTATTTTTGGCACGCAGTCCGATAAAGGTTTGCCATCCTTGCCCTACAGCCTGAAAAATTTAGGTTCACGTCATACAAACTGCAAAAATTTAACTGAAAAAATTGTATAGATTAAAAATGCATTTTTTCACTTTTATAATTTTGGCTATAATTTTATGTTTCAATTTGCTTTAAAATTTCTAAACATAATATGCAATATGTTTTTTTCAAAAGAAAAAAAAATAAAAAAAAAAGAATTATATTTCGGAAAAATTATCAACCATTGAAAAAAAAATTTTTTGAATGTTTATACAAAAGCGAATGTAATAAAAAAACATTCCATCGTCTAGTTAGGAAACAATGTAATGTTAAACTTCATACTAGATTTATTCAAACCATAAGTCGTGTCGTATGATGTTTGCTTCGAAAACAAGTTATTATTCAAAAATCACTACAACCATTTCATATGAAAACCAAGCTCAATGTTGGGTTTCATTAAACGCTGGTCAAAGGAGTTTAATGATCCTTATGTCACCATATTATAATATATGTACATATTAACCGAATTAAACCTATTCAAAAAAATTTTTTTTGGGGTTCGCACTACGCTTTTTTTCTTGGGAAGACCCCATCATGCATCCGCCTTCTGAACACAGACTCAAATTAATTTACTTATTAAAGTGAAAAAGTAACAGTAAAAGCTGTGCCTTCAAAAATTTAATTGTTTGCCAAAATTATAAAAATAGCCTAAAATCATTCTCTTACTTAACCACCAAATTTAACCATTATGTTACTATGCGGTTCCAATATTATTATCCGGGAGTTTTGTCTTCTTTATTCTGGTGCATGGTAATAGATGGTCTCCTGTCTTATAACGGGTATAATGTGCGAGGCTACGCTGATGATCTGGTCGTAACTGTAAGGGGCCAACATGATGACATCATAGTTTACTAAATGCAGGGGGCTCTGAATAACATCCGGGACTAGACGGAGGCTGAGGACCTTTGCATTAACTCTGGAAAGGCAGTCATTGTACCATTTAGTACCCGGCGGAAATTTAGTTTGCGCTCTATATCCCTGGGGGCACAATTATTGAGCCTTTCAGGGAAGTGAAACATCTTAGAGTAATCTTGGATCAGCGACTAAGCTGGAGGCCTCGTCTGAAAGGAGTAATTGGTAGAGCCATCCGGGCTCTATGGAATTCGATGAGGCTGTATGGAAGAACATGGGGTCTTAGACCTAAAATGGTCCACTGGCCCTACACTACCATTGTTCGACCAATTGCAATGTACTTTTCTGACATATGGTGACAGAAGGCTGGGCAAGAGACGGCGCGTGCCGCTCAGGCACGGACATCCTAAGGACGTATCCGAGGTTCTCTTGAGCATGGCTCCGCTTCATATTCACCTTAAAGGGAAAGCTATGAAGGGAGCACTATGTGTAAGGCAATATAGGGAGCCAAGGCCTGGTGACCTTGGGGCCCACCTAAGCTTTATGGAGGAGATCAACGATATACACGGAATGGAAATGCCCTTGGACTTTGATCCGAGATAGAGGAATATAATAAAGTGGATCTACCTGGACGAGCGTGGGCCTCATTTTGGCCCTGATGCCGTGGTCTTCCATGCGGGTAGAACCAAATTCAATGAGGGAGTGGGCATGTGTGTAAGGAGAGGGTGTGAGCATTACAAGGGCTCTCGAACATTGGCCATCGATATATCAGGCTGAAACATATGCCATAGAGGTGTGTGCTCTTGAATGTATCAGAAGGAACAATAGGGGGAGCAGAATTATTATTATGTCAGACAGCAGGGCCGACAGTAGGTTCGCTCATACCATTTAATGGAGTCCAGGTCCAGGCTGCTGAAGGAATGCGTTGACACTTTTTGTGTCCTGTCTAGGTATAGCAAGTTAAACTTGATGCCCGTGGACTCGCCAGAGGAAGAGCGGCGGCTAATTTCATTGTGGCGGAACCATGTTTCGGGGCTCCAAGACCAACGGTCCTACCAAACATGGCCAGCTGCCGTCCCCCCAGTCCCAAGGGAGACATAAATTTCTTAGAGTAGAGGAGAACGAAATGATGGAACATTTATTATGTGATTGTGAAGCAGTTGCTTGCCTGCGATTGGCGTGTTTTGGGGAGGCTTGTGACCCCGTGGAAAATTTCGCAGCTTGATTTGGCTGCTATAATGTGGTTTCCCAGCGGCCTGGATATAGGAGGGCCCCTCGGATAAAAAACGCTTCTTCCAATTTTTTTTTGTCATGCTAAATATATGCAATAATTCGATATACACTAAGTCCTCAAGATACGACTTCACATCTTCTAATACGACATTTCGAGTTACTACATATGATATAAAGCTGAATCAATTTTATTTCAGTTCGCGACATTATTCCTGATACGACATTAAAAATTTAAAAAATTTTTAATTTTACAGATTTTACTGATTTTTGAATGAAAATCTATACCAAATTTAATTATAAGACAAGTCTAACGAACATACTTTAATAATGAATTCTTTCTAGTTGAAAATATAGTCTAATTAAAAATATGAATTGAAGTGATATATAACAACTTAATCAAAATTTATTTTATTTATTTTTGTTACAAAATTGATTTTTTTTGGTTTCGTTACTTTATTTTATTGTTTTTTAAACTTTGTTATTTTTTTTTTAAAAACCAGGTGAATTATAATATAAAATAGTTTGTCTAATTGACTTTTTGTTTCCGTACACTTTTTTCTTCCTCAAACAATAATTCGAGTTACGACATAAATTTCCGGAACCAAAAGTGTCATATCCCGAGGACTTAGTGTATATGTTTTGGTATATGAACGAAAGTGATAATACACATAGAAGAATGTATTATAATTACTATTTTCACTTGTTCAAGGTAAAAGTGCAACTTTATTGATTCTGTATATAAGATAGTTTTACATTTACTGCGAGATATTAAAAAGAGCACATGATAATTATAAAATATTTTATATCACAGTTCTTTTTAGTTGCTTCTAACTTACTTTTTGCAATTATATTTAATTTTAAGATATATCTATTTAATAAATGTTATTATTCAAATTACCAATTTTTAATGTGATATCTATATAAATGTGTTTTTTTTTAAGTACATACCCATTCCTGCTGAAGGTGGTGGTGGTTTAGCATCTGGGTCTGTTGCAGCCGGTATTGTATTTTCATAATTGGCCAATGATGATATAAATGTGGAAATACGAGGCCTTGTATCCAATTCTTCATCGTATAAATATAAATTAGCATCGCGACTTTTCTCACTGTCAACAAATGGCTGTTCATCATTCCCATCTAAAACAAAACAAAAAAATAAGTGAAAAAAAAGTAATAAACTAACTGAATAAGAGTAGAAATGAATATATTAACTTTTTAAACTAAGTTAAAACAATTTGAAAAGACAGTTTAATCAAGACAGTTGAATGATGCATTTTCCATGCATAAATGGGTTGATACATATTGGAAAGTACAACACATGATATCCACCGTATTTAAGAGCGCTATTTTATTGTGCTTTAATTTTAGAAATGCTACAGTTTCGGATTTTTGTTATTATTCTTCTATGGTTAGTATTCGTCTTGTTAAATTATATAGAATTAATTAAAGAAACTTAAAAAATAATTTCTACCCAATAATTCTTTGTTTGCTTACAAGAAACTTCCATTTGCCTTAAATATAATATCTATTTAAAATATTTTTGTAAGTTTTAACATTTTATCTTAAAGGATGTAAACATAACTACTACAATTGGCACACTCTAGTAGGTTTGTTTTTATATCGGCTTACATATATGTATGTATGAAATTTCTAGGTACAAAAGATTCAAAGTACTACGAATATGTATAAGTACGTTTGTTTTGTCCATTTTTACATAAACATTGATAACTTCATAAATTGATAATATATATAATTAATGCCATAATGACTATATATCATATTATTTGTAATATATTTAGACCCTAATCACATAATTTTTGGTAATATTCAAATTACTACACTAGGTTTAGTAACACTATATACAGGGCGTTCTACATAAGGTGCCAAATAATTTTAAGGATAATTCTCTGATCGATTTCCAACAAAAAATTGTACCTGCATGTACAATTCATGCATTGTCCATGAAGGGGGGGGGGGGGGGGGGAAGGGGGCGGAAATTTGTTTTAAAAAAAATTTTACAAGCTTTTTAATATTAAAATATTGCATATTAGGCAATTTCAAATTATATCATGTTCAAGTATTAATGCTATAGGTGCATGTGTTAACTTCACATCCTTGTTAAGTTTCAAATGTCCTCGCTTGATTACTTAATGTTTTCGAGCATTTAATGAACTTGTTTGTGTGAAATTTGAACATTTTTTTTCAAGATCCCATTTTTCAGGGAATATAAGCGAGTCAAGAACAAAGGTGCTTCTTCCTTTAGCATTTCTAATTCGCTGGTAAATATAACCTGAATAAAGCGAATCGCACTAATTTCAAATATTTTTGAAAACAAATTTTTAAAAACTGTTCTTAAAGATTTCGTAGAATCCACGCTCATTTGTGGTGACTTATTTTAAGTCGCTATATCACAGGGATAATCCTACAATTAAGAGAAACTAAGTATACGTATAAGTGAAAGAGCTTCATATATGACATTTTAGCCTTTTTTTCCGGAGAAATGAAATTTATCTCTGCGTTACTTATAGTTGCGTTAGCTGACATGAATCACATGTTTAGTATGAGTAATTTAGTAATGCGCTGCAAGAATAAATTTATATTGAAATGAACCTAAACATACAGATGTAATACACACATTAGGTTCTATATAAGCTTATCATATTAACTAGCATAATAAGTTCTAATACTTTTTGCAAGCATTATGTTGATATAGATTAAAAAATAATCTGATACGAACACATGACCGTGAGATATTGGCTAGTTTAGTTAAAATGTTACATGCGACTACGAAAATGCATTTTAAATACTCCTCACAAATTTTAAGGAGGCTAGTACGCTTTTAGTTAATATAGCTAGAAAAATATAGATTTAGCTCTTATCAGAGGCTCATTTTATGCTAACCATTTGATCACTCAAAAATTCCTTATCCAAAAATTTTAAGATACTCCATCAATTAATTCCCTCCTATAACGTACAAGACGTCTTAATATTTTTTCGTATGTGTGTATCCAAGGTTTTTTGTTCAGAAAAAAGACTATTCATTTCTTTAGTCCATATACATATATAAGTTTCGTACTGGAAAGCTGTGTCGCTAAGCGATAAAATAATTTATTTGCTGTTTAAAATTTAATTTTAATTTAAGTTTTGTCTTTTGTTCATAATGTTTAGAATAAAATAAAAGTGAATTTGAAAAAATACTCGTAGTACTAAAGTTTATTTAAAAAGAAAAAATGACTTAATAAATTAGTAAGATTCGGTGTACATTTTAAAGTTTCTATTGTAATCGTATTTAAATAAAATATAATAATATATTTGATTACGTTCATATAAATAGGTGCTGTGTCATATAAATGCCCCGAGGGTGTTGCGTAGAAGGATGTAGAAGCAATATTCTATGAGAAAAGGAGAGCGTAAATGCTATATTTACATTTATTTTGCCGAATAACGAGGTCATCAGGGATAAATGTATAAAAGCATTAGGAAAAACGAATTCGACACTACCGAAGTATTTTTAATTTTTAAGAATTTTAAATTCTATTTTTCTGCATGTTGCAAATATAATTTAATCAATTACTTAGTTATGTTAAGATTTGAACAATTTAAATAAGTATGTAATTTAATCTCTAATAAAAGAAAATTAAAAAATTTTGTGAATATAGTTGAATAGATTTTTGTCATAAAATTTACTAGTTTAAGAAAAATTGATCAAAAAATTTTTTTTATGTAAATATGTTATGTAGTTTATTCAAAAACAATTTTATTATGTATTTACTATTTTGGTTTTAGCTGAAAAATATTTTGTTACTTGTAATTTATTATAATGCAATTTGTTACCTGTAATAAGTAACTAGTTGGAAAGAACAAGAAATTTAATTTTGTTAATATTTAAACGAAATAAAATAATTTCTGCATATTTTTTGTATTTAATCGTTTTTATTTCACTTTTATTACTACAGGAACATTTAAGTGAAATAAAACGTGCAAGGAGAGTAGGATTTAACAGGATTTTCGATTCTATGGTTGCAAAACACATTTATGAAACGGATCACACAATCACGGAAGATAACTTAAAGGTATTGAAAGAGGTAAAAGGAAAACAAAGGAAAGAAGTTCATGAAAGCATGCAGATATACTAATCAAAAAGGACTGCCTACTGAACACGGACGAAGATAACGCGGCTACTTGGCTCTTTAAATTAATTATTTGACCAGTTTTAGGGTTGAAAACAGGTATAAATTTAGTTTGTAACTAATAACAAAAAAAAAAATATAAATAAATAATCAAATTCTAGATTAAGTCAGGTAGATAATTATATTAAGTCAGGTATAATATTCCTAATTTTAATAGATTTAAATTTTTATTGTTTGTTGTCTTAATTAGAAGAAAATCAGTTTTAATAAAGTGCGTATGTAGCGCACGAATTATATTAGCAAAAAATAAAAAAGTATTTTATTCCGAATAAAAGGAAGTTTTCTTTTCATACCAATAAAAAAAAGCTAAACTTTTATTGAAAAATTAATTTTTCAAATCTTTATTTGAAAAATTAATTTTTGTATGTTTACCTCCAAGATTTAATAATTATGCGTTTAAAATTTATTTCTATATAGCAAACCACAGTTTTGAATACTCTTCAATTCATATAGAAAGCTTAAAAAAAATTACTTGGGAAGCTTTAAAAAAAAAAAACATACATATATTTATGTAGTTAAAATTTTTGCGAATTTTTCCAAACTATTATAACAATATTTTTTTGGATATTTGCTTTAAACTTTTATAATAACATTTATCTGTTATAGATGAAAAAGAAAATAAAACAAAAAATTTAAACAAAATAAAAAACAGATTTTTGCAATAATCCAAAAAAAGAAAAATACGACAATATCCAGGCAAGCACCGATACAATAACGTTCTGGTTATGAGACTACCACGCTACCCACCAGGCTACGCAATACCTTGATTTTCCCATTATAATTTTATGTTTTACTCATATTTCCTATAACTCTTCAAAAATCATCCTATTTTACATTATATATATATAGTTACTTCTCAGATGTCGAAAAGTACGAGTACTTTTAGAAGGGTTAGAGACATGGGACAAAAGGCAGTAGATAGAGTTTTGCCTCTAGGGTGCAGAAAAAACCAAGAATTAGATAGGGATTTGCCTCTAGGGGTCTAGAAAAAGCATTAATTAAATCCATCCTCCTCCTTCACCCCCTCCTAAGATTCTTTGTGACCACTTTTTACAAAATGGTGCTACATCCTGTAGGGGTACTTTTTATTTGCTTTTGTTGGCTAAATTTTATAAGAAAATGTTATTCTATTGCGTTAAACTTTTTACAAATAGGGTATTTTCAAAAAAATATTTAGAACTTGCTGATATTGATTTGTAAGGGTAAAGCTTTTTTAATTTTCATTTTAATAAAATAAAATTATCAATAAAAAAAAGTTTATCTGGAAAATAGCATTTTACAGGGTTCGAACCTGGGACTTTTTGCATAGAAATAGTATACCATAGGCATTATCCTATCTTTTACGATTTTATGCGAGAGAACTCAAAGTGAGGTTGTAAAATGAATTACTTAAAAGATATTAGATCTCAAAGCAACTATTTATTTGCTTAATTATGTACTTTTTCATAATTAGTTTTAAAAGCATTTCTTATTTTAAGTGTTATCTTATAAAATATATAAAAACATATCTATATATGTATATTACGGGTATGTTTTTGAAGAAGAAAAAGTAAACTTAAAATATCTCACACAGAATGGAACACAATTTTAAGACTTTAAAACAATTGTAAACCTTACAAAGTATCACATTCCAAAAAAGTTTAGTAAAAGCTCTTGACATTGTACACTTTTCCAAAATGCTTTCTATACGTAGTGGATACGTAAAATAAACGTGAGTCGGGTATCGCAAAAATCGAGCACGCTTTTCTTATACATGTCATATAAGCGTCGCCAAAAATAACCAATTAAATAAACCAGCATATATTTTCAGCAATAGAGTGCTAGTTATTAAGTTTTTTCTTTTAAATGCAGCATAGAAACGCCATGTTTGTAATGATATGGTAACGTTTGTTAGAAATTAAGATTTGCACAGAACTTTAAATTGAACTTTCCAAACAAACGTCAAAA